CTGCCTGTGAAGGGATGGGGTTTGGGTACTGGTATTAGACCTCCATGAGCTCTGTTACTGCAGCACGTTGACTGTAACTTTCAGTTACTCTTGCTACAACAGACCATCTGTGTGAAGGTTTCAGATTAAAAGTAGCGGGGGAAAAGTAGAAAGATAGCTATAGAAATGCTTCTGTTGCGACAGAAAAAATGGCTGTAGTGGAGACTCATAAATCAAAAGGAAAAGGAAGCATGTCTTGTGTATGTGAAGGCAGTCGTGTGGCCTGAACCTGTCAGTCATACATAATGAAATTCATATTTCTGCTGAAATTACTGCATTTGGCTTCAGAAAGGAGCACAGATTTCACAAGTTCGTGAAATGCCATGAACTGTAAATACGTGGGAATTCTGTGACTGCAAAACAATTACTAATGCAACACAAGCTAAAGTTCATCATACTCTTTTGACACAAGAGAAATAACATCACGGAACGTGGCAGGCACTATGGCGTTTTCCTAACATTTGAGGTACCACTCAGTAATAGTCCAGTTGTAGGAGAGAAAAACAATGGCCACGGGAGGAGATGTATTGTCATTTTGGCATGTCATCGTGATAGCAAAAGATTGTTGTCAACTTTGGTTTTGAGCAAAAAACATGAAGGAAAGGGAAAATTTTTGATGTTTTTGTTGTGTTGGGGAGGGAAATGAAAAGCAAGTCTGGGCGGGACAGGAGGTTGATGAAGCGCAGTAACAATGGCTGATACTTCTTACTAAGAAAACACCTCTTTGCAAAGTTACTAACACTGACAGGCACTTTTCTAAAGAAAGGAGGACTTTTGTGGCTCCAGAGATTGTGAAAGAGAAGATAACTTGGTTTTGTTAGCCAAACTATGAACTAAAACCCCATCGATGTGATGTTTTTCTTGTTGCCTGCAGCAGATGGTATTAAGACAGTTCGTAGACATAAGCTGGTAGACAAGTCTGAACAAGTATGTATTTTTACTGGGTTGTTCATCATTCTAAAAGTTTGCCAAGGCTCAGTCAGAGTTATATTAATTTTCTTCGTGCATGGTAATTTTTTTTGACTGCCCAAAACTATGCATTTTGTATACAAAAGCATCTTTATAGCCTCACAAATATTTGTAACATATGTTGGCACTAAACACATGAGAGCTAACATATTCTGGACCCACAGAGCTCCCTGCCTGGAGAATGCCCTTTGCTTTGGGGGAACTGCATCCATTTAGCTTCCTGCATGGAAACACTGGCATTTTCAAGGGTGCAAGAACACATGTACAAGCACTGAACTACAAAGGTCATAACAAAAGAGCAAGAAGCCAATAGCAAGCTTTCTGGGATTTTTTAGCCTCCCAGGATGTGGGCAGAAAAGACAGAAATCTAAGCACCCGTTTGGGTTCACATTTTCTGTGCAATGAGTATTTTCACAAATGTGTTAGAAACTTTGAGCAGCTGCTGAAGAAACTCATCTCCACCATCTAACCTGCTCCTTTGCTCTCTTCCTGTATGTGTCTGAGTACAAACTGAAGTGAGTCCTGGCTAAGTTTTGGGTGGCGTTAGAACGTTCCAGTGAAACTGAACATGATATGTCCAATTTTATAGTTGTTTTGTTGGTTTGGGTTCTTTCTTTTGTTTGTTTAACAAGCATTTTCATTAACAATGTAGTGTCTTATTTCAGAGACTTGCTTTGAAAATGCTTTTGGTTTTTTGAAGGGAAATTCAGCAGGTTTACCAGTAAAAGCTTATAGAAAGCGTGTGTGCATAATTGTGGAGGCAAGAAGCATCTTTTGACTTGAATTCTTCAACTGCTGTAACTCAGTACAACTTTAAGCTTCTCCGATGACTGTTTTTTGCTTGTTTATGAGTACTGGAAGGTTACTAGTGAGAGACAAGAACCTTGTAGTCACAGATTTGCAGAATGTAGTGCAAACCATTTGCCAAACTGCTTCAAATACCAGGCCAGAGTATATTGATGTGTTCAGAGCTGAGGCTTTCTTTATGGAGAGTTAAAAGTTCAAGTTCCACAACTGAAGCATCCCTTTTGACCAAAAATTACAACAGCTCTGCTAGACCGAGCTAACCCCAGGAGGGAATGGATGATGCTGACTGAGCAGTGGTCTGATTTGTCCTGAGGAGAAATGGTGCTCTAGCTTTGTCTGGAAAAGAAATGAGAAGTGCATGCCATAGTGAAGTGAGGTGCTGATCATGACATCTGGCTCCCTGTTCTGTTTTCACAGCAGTAACTTCATTGTGCTGCTTATTCATTGGGATGCAAGTGAATTTCTTAGCTAGCTGTCTCAGCTAATATGAATATTATTTTTTTCAGGCTGAACCTACCTGTTGTTACTGTGGCTGTTCTCCTTTGCAAATACTGTGGACCCTCATTTCCATTAAACTGTAGTTTCTCTTCTCCCACTGTGGTATGAAGTAACTGCAAGACCAGAGAGCTACTTCCCAGCCCTACAGGAGTTGCCAGCATGACTGGCAGGCAGTCTTATCTAAGTACCTAGCATCTACTTGTCAGGCAAAATACGTAACCATTTTCAGGGTGGGGTTTGTAGGGATCTGAATCCAAACATGTTTTCTGTTTTTAATTTAACTGTTATTTCTGGAGACTTCAGATCTTCAAGTCCAGGCAGACAAGAAATTGAGTCTAGCTTGCTTGCAGTTACTGGCCACTGGGGAAACTCAGTGGCCAGTGCTGAAACTCTCAGTGACAGTGTTGTTTCTCTCAGATCTGTAGTATGGTGGAAAGGTAGGCAGTAGATGAGCGGGAGTCCCCTTACTGTAGGGCAGCTTCCTGTTCATGGGCTGTTTTTGAAATGAGCATTAGACCTGTCAGCTGCAGGGTTTTGTCTGGAGGAAGGGCAAAAAATAATCAGCCTAAGTAGAAATGCGAACAAGCCATCATGCTTTTAATCACAGAGGCAGTGTTAGAATCATAAATCAGGGAGACGGCTAACAGAGTGGTTACAGGAAGCACAGATGAGTAGCAAAGGTTAGAGTTTTCTGTAAAGCTACTTTAGCTGCTCACTGACCCTGTACAGGCCATGTTTTTGCATAGGAAGTGTGACAACTAGAAAACAAGATTGTACAGAAAGAAACCAGCATTATGCGGATTTTCTCATGCACCCTTCTAACTGCATTTTCTGTACCCTGAAATATGGATGCAGCTTTTAACCACATACAGTAACAAAACTCTACACCTGTCTGCACATACAATATACATGGACACATGTATATTGTATATCCTGTTTCTTTCCTTGTATGTTTCTTTCCCTTGCTGCCTCTCAGCAATGAAAAAAGGTTGTAATACGATGAAGTTCTTTTGCCAGTAACGAAACCAATGAAGTCTGAAGAGACAGAAGATTATCATGAAGTAGCTTTTTGGTTCCTGTAGATACAGTTGAGATACCTCTTCATTTCTTACTTGGGCAAGCAAAGACAAAATTGGAAAGCTCATTGTTGCATTCCTTGCTCTAATGTCTTAGACACAGCTTTGAGCCTGGAACCACAGCCATCAGAATTTAGTAGTCAGGGAATGTATCACAAAAATGTTTATATTTCAGAAAAGTTTGCTCACAAACTTATATTTTTCTATGCTACATCAATTTAATTTCCTTAAAAGTCTTTCCTCTTTTCGCTTTGATGACCTTTCTTAAGGTTTACAATGATCATTACCTTTCCTTCTTGTAGAGTAATCCAAAATTGACCTATTGCTGTAATAGCATCTGAGGATTACAGATTTCTAAGACCGATTTTCTGTTCTATTTTAGTTTTCCAAAGCCTTGGGCTTCTGACACAATCTTTAACTCCTCAAAAATGTCCTTGTTTTTAATATATCTATAATATAGTGCCCAACTTGAGACACCTTTGGGTTGATTTTGAGAAGTTTCCAAGCTTCCAGTGGATGCATTGCAAGCAGTGCATGTCCAGAGATTCCAAGTTTTCAGGCTTATTATATGAAATTCCAGAATGTGATCCTTAAAATTTCTCTGACTTTCCAGTTTTGTAAATGGTGTCAGGAATACCACTGCTGTCCTGCACTTCAGGGTCCCTGCCATAACCTTTGTGTGCTGTTTTGTAACTCTACACAATGACAGTGCTTAATTTGTTATTTTTTTTATATGCAAAAGTATTGTAGCCAACAGTTTCATTTTATGCAGGTAGCTAATTCGGTTGTGTCACTTGTAAAGCAGAACCAGGCACCAGTTCAGGGCTGTGCCTCCAAGTTTGCATTTACTAGTTCAGAAACTAGTTTGAGATCAATTAGTGCCACTGAAGTCTTGCATACGGAGAGGCTCCCCTTTCCAAAAAGGAGGTGTCTTCTCTCCCTGTGTCTCATCCCAGTAATTTCTGTAAAATCCACTTGCAGCACCCTGAAGTTTAATGGGTTTTCTAGGATCAGACAGAACACAAAGCAGCTTCAACTCTGTGGGATGCGCCTTGAGCAACAAGATTCCACACAGTGCCAGCTGCAGGCCCTCACCCCCTGCACATTGTGTGTCTCTTCCTTAGTCCAGCACAGCTGGAAAGCTGAGTGAGAAAAGAGTGAGAATTGTTTTGCTCATGTATGCAGAAACAGTATAGGAGAGGATGTTGATAGGTTTAAATAAGCATTACGGGCTTGGATCAGCCCCATAGGGCAAGAATGAGGAACAGGATCTGTGCGAGACCACTGAGAGCTAAAGAGTAAATTACACCTAGTAATGGCAGTATTGGAGGACGAGACTTGAGTCCTGAACCCCTCAGTGCGTCTCCTTTGTTACAACAGTCTGACTTGTCCTGTGATATACCATTGCTTGTCTGCAGACTCAGGATTTACCTTTTGGGGGGCAAACTAATGCTGTGGAAGTCTGTTGATTTGCAGTTGTAGCATGAGGATTGTACTCTGGTGAGAGCAGAGTTGCTGGTGCAAAGTTCCTTCAGTCTTCTCATTATGTTGCTGGATTAACAGTATGTAAGTGATACTTGGGTGAAGGGTTGTTTTTTTTCTTCTTCAAAGCTCTTTGATTTGCTTCCTTTCGAGTTGTAGGACTCTGCCCTATTACAGGTAGGTGACCTGTTAATATTCTGAAAACTGGAGGGTTTTTTTTAAAAAGGATTGATGCCCTCAACATTAAAAAAAAAAAAGAGAGAAAAAATTCCTTTGCATTAGCCTGTTTTAACAGCCAAGGCAATTTTCCACATGGTGGCTTTATGGAAATGGGTTGCAGCTCTTGCCGACCATGACCAGAACATTACAGGAAATGTATTTTCATGGAAGATTTGCTGCAGTTGCCAACAGGAGAAAGGGAGGGGGACAGGGGGTTGTTCTGTTAATGGACAACTTCGTGCCATGATGTGAATCCCTTTGTTAAATTAAATTGGTTTGCACTTTCCCCTATTGTCTGTTCCATGCTGAAAGAAACAGTCACTGATAGGCCATTTCCCTCTGTAAGGACCAGAGTGCGTTGGCCTAGCATGAGGCCTTATGCTGAAATGGGGTGGACAACATGCATTTAGGTATTTGACTGAGGTAATTTAAGAGGTACAAACAATTGGAATATTTCCATGGAGTGGCTTGATCAGAACCGGAACTAATGGAAATTGGGTTTGCAACCTCAGTGCTTGTAGGTGGTAGTGTCTTACATGATTCAGGGAAGGACTGAATGAGATTTTAAATCTGCAGATACTACTACACAGGCATGACTTTGAGCATGTGAATAGTCTCTGTAAGTTAAAAGTTGAGCATAAAGGTCTAAAGGTTTTGGGTGGGTTTTAGTGCAGTATGAGTGTACTTTTTTTCGTCTGGCTGCTGTAAAGCTGGAAGTTTGATACTTTCCAAGTAGAGGCAAGAATGATAAGTGGCCTTATTTATATGTGAAAAAGTTATCTGTGCTGGGAATATATGATTGCTTGCAGGAAAAAGCACTGCATGACTGATTCCCCTATGGTAAATATTTGAATTCTGGTAGGTCCATTATCAATTCCATATGAGAGATTTTCTGGCTCTTACTGCTACATAGGAGATGAGAACAAAAGAGAAACAGAGGAGAGAATGAGTGGAGAACATAGGTACCATCCCTGCAGCTAAACTCCTTTCTCCTGTCAAAGTAGATTGGAGCTGTGGGGCAGGAGTACTCAGAGCAGGTACTGAGTGAATATAGTTGAGATTGTTCATGTGGCATATGATGTATTTAAAATCTGCTACTCATTTTAATCTTAGCAGCATTATAATAATGGTCCACAGCTTATTCTGCTATACCTGTCATGTTTTAATAGTCAGTGTATTACACAGGGAGAAATACAAATGGAAGAAATTGGGAAGAGGAAATGTGGTGGAGAGGCAAGGGCCTTAGAGGAGTTGACAACATCTTGCTTCCTCTTTGTGGCTAAACTTAGGAAGTGCATGGTATAGAGCGTATTTCCTTGTAAAGCTTGGTGATGGAAGTGAGAGAATACTAAGGGTGGATGGTTGGCAAACACTTCTATGGTAGCTTGGGAAAAATACGCATAAAACTCTTGATACTGCTTATTTTCTGGACAAAGATATGTGCAATGAACAACCTCCACCACACGTGGTACTTTGAAACAATGAGGAAGGAAAATGAAAAGAGGAAGGAAAGTAAAAATAAAACCTGAAGTCTTGTCTATAGGGTAAATACAAACAAGGAGTGAAGCCCACACATGCACTGTATGATTCCTGCTTTTGCTTTGCCATTGATGGGTAGCCATTCTTCTTAGTATAGCTAATTGAAGTCCAGATGACTTGGTGTAAGACCTGGCATTCGATAAAGCAGTCAAATGAGACACAGTGAAATAGTGCAATCGTTTTGCCAGTCAACACTCCCATCAAAGACTATTTCCACCTGATTGAAGTGGCTTCTATGGCAGATTCGTCCCTGAAGACAGAATTATTAAGCCAAATTACCATGCATGTGTTTTTAACATGGCATCACCGGAGGATTGTTAGATACTCACTGGGACAGGAAGAAATGCAGGCTTGATGAAGGAAAAACAAGCATCAACTGACTTGCTTGCACTGGAAATGACATGAAAAAGCTTGATGTCTACTCATGAAAGTTGAGAAATGCAGAGTTAAATGTTAAGAATCCTTAAGGTCTTTGTTTGCCTTACAGCATCTAAAAATACAATATTTTACCTCTGTCTCTTTCGTATCTGTAAGAACATGTGCACATAACAGAAGTTACACAAGTGGGAGTAGATGGGTCCATCTTTGCTCTGTTCATTGCAGTGCTGCGAATGCTGGAGCAGTCTGGCATTTTGTTCATGCAGGAAGTTTGCTTTTCAGCATCCAATTATCCCACTGACCTTTTTGTTTGGAATTTCTTTTTTATTTATTTGTTTTCTTGGTCATGATAAAGAATGTAATGGGCTCTGTCTTAAAATTTCCTGTGTTCTGTTGTCTTGACTTTTTCTCGTTACCAGTTTTTCCCCCCTGGTTGGGTATCCAGCTGCAAGTAACAAATTAACATATTTTGGTAGTTCACTTGCTGCTGTAGTTCTTCAATGAATCCGCCTCACTGGACTGGGAATGGCTTTCTCTTGGAAGTGAAAAATAATAGACTGAAGGCAAAGTTTGAGAAGTTGCTTCCTGGTTTTTATCGGTGTTTTACAAAGAGACTCAAGTTTTTAAGTTTAACACTGATTCAGAGAAATCCCAGCTGGCTCCTTGCCACTGATGTTATAAGAAATAGTTTGACAAGCAGGTGTTTTAGTTAGGAAACAGCTAGGCCCAGTGACCAGTAACTGTGTTTCTGAAAGGAATCATGACCTAAAACACACCTAAAGTGGCTGCAAGAAGGAGCAGTTGTAGTTGGACTTGCACACAGAGTCCACATGGTGTTGTTTACAAATGTGGCTGGTTTATTTTGAGTGTATCCTTTTGGTCCGGTCTTGTTAGGCAATTGCATTTGCTGGTAAGGTGGCTTGCTACGCACCCAGTGAAGGGTGTCTCAAGATGAGAATATCTGTGATGGTGTTCATTCTTTCTACAGTTTATCTGTAAAAAAGCAAAGTTTATTTCTTTTTATGCTCTGAACCAAGTCCTTCCCCTAACTTGGATAGAGAGGAAGTTCTGTGCTGCTAAAGGTTACATTTGGGTGGCAAAGGGAAATTGTATAATCAGCCTCATCAGATACTGTATAGAATTGAAGGCAGAAAAGAATTTATACCCTTCATTCCTCTGATTCATTGCTTGATCACAGATTGTCCTGTCTGTTGTTAATGTAAGGAAGGAGTTTGCTCTTCTGAAATAGCTGAGTGTCTTTGGAAGTTGGGTTTAAACAGGGCTGTTTGACAGATCACTTGGTTTTCTGCTTTCTCTTAAACACTGTGCTTACTGGGTGTTTGTATTTGCAGCTGAATAGCCGATGATTCAAAAGAGAAGAAGGATAAGAAAGAGAAGAGAAAAATAGCTATTTTATCAGTTACTATAAATTGATGTAGGTATCCCATCATTAACCACTGTTACTCTTAGTGCAAAGCTGAAAGCACTGAGCTTTTCTGTAGCAAAGGTTGAGTGATACTGTGCCACATGCCCAGTGCCTACACTGCCACATTGCATGAAGGCAGATCTAGCATAGTTTAACTGACAGCAGTGATGATTTGTTTGTGTAGTATTCTTAGTGTGAAAGGGTGAGCAGTGAGGCTCACCAAGTCTTGTGTATCCTGTAAGTTATTAGGAAGAAGTAGCACTGCAGTGCCTGGGATCTGAGGCTGGCTCCTGCCTTATTTTTTTTTTTAAGGCAAGAAGAAGAAAGAGGCTTTTATCATTAGCTAACAAAATATTGTATAACTTCACTGCTTTTGACTGTTGTATGCTAATAGAAATAACAGTGAGAAGAGCGTGCTTCTTGCAACTGCATTTCTTGTTTGAAGCAAGCAAATGCTACAAGTCAATGAAGCAGTGTTGGTATTTCATATCCTGGAGCCAGGGTCTTACCACAATGGGGAAAAAAAACCCAGCCTCTATTTCAGTACATAATTAGTACATTTAACCTCCAGCAATGAGAAAGACAGAAATCTGGTGCAAAAAAAAAGAGCTGTGGAGGTGTTGATGAAGGGAAAGCAGATTGACCATATTAAGCTATTTCCTTTGCTTTTAACATCACTTGTAAGCTCTGGATTTCAGATAAAAGATTCTTCTTACACCCAGGGCGATGCTGAGGCCATTAAAATCAAAACTTGACAGAAAGATTTGGTATTTAGGATTATAATCTAGCTTCTTTGAAAAATGCTTTCAGTGCTACAGGAACAAGGCAGTGTGTAGCCTGGAAAGTGTGGAGGGGACCTGTGTGTTACATGAGTAAGATCTAGGGCAGTAATGTCTGCAGTAAAAAGCTTAGTTTCATGAATGTTCTACTAGAGTTGGGCATCTTTCCTAAATGGAGTAGGAAGAGGCAAATGGCTCATTCATCCTTTCTGCAAACAGCAAATGAAATAAAAAGGTTCATTGGGTTTTGTTTTCCTTCTGTCAGGCAGCAGCTGCATTGCAATTATATTTAGATTTCTTTTCATATTATTAGAAGGAGGAAAAAAAGGCTATTTCTTATTTCAGCATTACCAGTTTAGACATGAAAATGAAAATGTTTGTTTACTTTTGTTACACAGGTTGAGTGCATGATCCCACTTGCATTGCTATCAGTGGCAAAGCTCCCATTGATTTCAGTGAGCACTGGGTTGTCTTCTTGCTGGGAGATGCTGTAATCAGCTTGATTTGTGACAGTGAAAAGAGTGTTCAGAGCCAAGGGACTGAAAAACAACCCACAAAAATGTGGAAAAACATACTAAAAACATCCAGCTATCATATCTGTGGGCCTGGTAATAATTTTAGGGGAAGTAAACAATGCCAGTGGACTCCGAAAACATGCAGTGATAAAATACCAGATTGTTGGAAAATTCCTCCCTGAGGGAAGAAGCTTCTCTCTTGAAAATAATTATTTCAAAACAAATATAGCAAACATCCTAAAATTAACATTCCCAAAGCATAAAATAAGAGGTATGTAGATTCTGTGTGGAGTAGTTTAATTCATCTCTAGATGAGCTTTG